TTCTTCCCTTCCCTCCTACACTAAGCTTTGAACTCAGCCTTACATGTGCTGGGCAAGCACTCTACCATGAGCCATAGCTTTGGAAAGAAACTCTCTTTAGGACAGTGATTCTTGGTTGTTTTTACAGGAATTTTTAGAAATGAACTTATTTAAAAATACATATTTGTACTGGACATGGTGGCACACGCTTGCAGTCCCACTGTTTGGGAGACTGAGGCAGTATTACCATGAGTTTGAGGCCATCCTGGGTTACAGAGTAAGTTCATGGCCAGCCTCAATTATAGCACAAAGCTCTGTCTCAACAAAACAAAACAAAACATGCATACAGTGGAATCTGTTCACCAACTTAATTATTTCTGTGATTCTGGTTGCAAACTGAGTTGGTTCTGAACTGAACCTAATTCACTGTTGATTTACTGTTGACTTTATGGGGGAAAATTGATTCCCCTTATGGGAAAATAGCTAACAAACACTTGTTTTAAAAATAACTCAAGTTAGGGGTGGGAGAGATGGCTCAGTGAAATAAGCACTTCCCTAGCAAGTGCAAGGGTCTGAGTTCAATCCTCTGTTGCACGAAAAAACAAAACAAAACAAAACAAAAAAAACCCACAATAAAAATAACCCAAGTATGGGGCTGGGGAGATAGCTCAGTAGAATAAAAGGGCCTGAGTTCAATCCCTGGTTCAGCTCCCCCCAAAAAAACCCAAATAATTCATAAATGTACAAGTAAATATGAAAAAGCCCTTCCATATACTGTTTGGGATACGACCTTTTTTATTTTTCAGACCACATGCCCAATTATATATGAACATGGCATTTCGTTAAGTTATTTGTCCAAGTGAGCCCATCCTAGTCCATAACCACTGATAGCAATGGACTATGATATTAATGATGGTTATGTTTATGTAGCACTTTCATGCACACTTTGTGTCCTGGATCCTAGTGCTGATGTTCAGGAACAGGCAGGATGGGTTATTGGTGTCACTGTACAGAGGTCATTGTCCAGAGTCTCATTGCTATTTGTGCTGGATTGAGGTCATTTACACTAAATGAGTTCATTTTTCATATGGCTCTATTTCTCATGAGGAATTTCTACAATCAGGTCTTCCCAGTCCATGCTAGATGTCCTAAACAGTATGTTAACTTGAAACCTGGATTAGATACAATTAAGTATGCCCATATAGTTTCCCAGTGGTGTTTTCTCTTGGGAACAGGGTGATCTGTCAAATGTCTGTATCACATTGGGGCTGGGGAGATGGCTCAGTAGAATAAGCACTCGCCTGGCAAGTGCAAGGGCCTGAGTTCAATCCCCGGTTCTTCCAAAAATAAAAAATAAAAAAATAAAAAAAAAATGTCTGTATCACACCTTGAAGTGATAGCAATGGAAGATGTAATAAAAATGTGACAGGATCCCACACTGATGTCTCTCTGTATAATCCAGCCAATAGATGATACTGGTGGGCTCAGGGCACAGTAAATGTGGTAGAGCATGTGTCTTGGATGCATAGGCATGGGTTTGATGCCCTGCACAAATAAAGTTGGCAAGGGCTAGGGAGATGGCTCAGTAGAAAAAGTGTGTGCAAGGGCCTGAGTTCAATCCCTGGTTCTGAAGAAAAAAAAAAAAAAAAAAAAAAAAAAAAAAAGCCAGCAATGGGTACATCTACTATTGGATGACATGCTAATGAAATTTTGGGGCAAGACACATTATGTTGGAAAGAATACAATTGTATATAGTTTTTTATTTTTTAAACTTATTTTTTTATTTTAGAAATTTTGTTTTCAGAAGAGTACAATTGTATACAGTTTCCGAGACACATTTTTTTTTCTGTATTGTGGCAGCTGGAAATAGATCTTCATCTTACAAATTCACAGGTCTTTGGCGGGATGAAAAGCAGGAAATGGAGACTCATTAAAACTAGCTTCATGCCTGGCAAGCGCAAGGGTCTGAGTTCAATCCCCGGTTCCACAAAAAAAAAACAAAAACAAAAACAAAAAACTAGCTTCTTGTGTACTCTTCCATTTCCCTGTCTTGGCTGGGTCATTTAAACTGCCAAGTCCCCAAACACTAGGTGCCAGGTATAACACTCTCTGTGGACTACACAGGACGAGCTCTTAATAACAACTAACCTTTATTGAGAGCTTACCCTGCTCCAGTTACTCTTCTTAGTGCTTTGAGAAGATTTTCTCATTTAATCTTCCCACTGAAACTCTTAGGAAAGTCCTAGAAGTATCCTACTTTCATAGAGGACCAAACTGAGATTTAGAAAGCTCAAATGAATATGGCTAGGGCTGGTGAGATGGCTCAGTGGTCTAAAGCACCTACTTAGAACAAGCTTAGCAAAGCCCAGGGACCACGGTTCAATCCCCCAGCACCACATGCCAGCCAGCCCGCCCCCTGGTGGACTGAGCTGCCCCCCCCACAAATAAATAAATAAAATTAAAAAAAAAATGAATATGGCTACAGGTTAAAAACTATATGGTAAAACTGGGAGCGGCACCTGGCAGTGGTAGGAAGCCAGGTCTTCTTGATACAGGGAGAAAAACTGGTCTTTGGTGGGTGACCTCCAAACCATATAGGGAACCTCCAAATGACATAGGGAAAAACGATCTCTGGACCTGACCTGCACGCGTTCGTGTTCTCTAAAACCGAAGAATGAATTTTAGGAACAAACAGAGGTTATGAGCAGAATATATTTATTGAGAGAAAGAAAGCTCCTGTCCCAAGACAGGGACAGCAGGCGCAGGGGGTGGGGTGGGCGAGCGGGTAGTTCCCCCCCAGGAAGTTGTCTCTTGCAGGAACTTTTATAGAGGAAAACCATGTGGTGAGGCGGGTCTAAGGTGGTGGAGAAGACATGGGAACTCGCTTAGTTGGGCATGAGGTGGGACAAAACTATGGTCAACCAATGAGATTACAAACACCATTGCTCAGGTAAAATTGATTAAATCCAGTATCAAATGGGAAAGCGAGTCATGTAGCAAGCGGGCACGAATACAGAACAGGGTCTCATCCTGTTAGGGGTTGGGCTAGTGACTCATTTGGGCTCTTTCAAGTTGACTGATACTATTTAGGATATCAGTCCCTAATGCCCAACCCTAGGGAAGTATGTAGCTGTGCTTTCTCTTTTGTCTTGGTCTTCAGGTGTGGCCCATATGGGAGTGTCTGTCTCTTCCAAGCTGCAAAGTCACCTTGTCTTCCATCTTGTCTCCTTGAGGGCCTGGCCCTGGCTGACTGCCTATAATATTTCTGTCTAACTTGGCTGCCTGCAACATTCTCACCTCTCCACTAATATTAACTCATTTGCCCCACGCTTCATTCACGTCATCCTTTCCTTCCTCCCTTCCCTTCTCTACGTGTGCCATATAACTTTGATTTGTTATAAACAGAGCTGCCTCCAGGATTAGACATGGTGTGCTAGTGAGGGGTGGTAAACAGGAATGATAGTGAAAGTAGGCTCCTCAATTTATCACACCCATGTGTACACACAGGTGCGCGCACACACAAACTAACCTTTGGGTTACCTTTTGCACAGAGCCAGAGAATTAAATTATCAAATTAAACAAATCAAGCAAAGTATAGTTATACTGACTCTTTAAAAAGTAAAGGAAGGAAAAAATATAGAAAAGAAAAAACAGTGATAAAGTCAACTGAATCAATTTATTTATTCCATTTTGTAGTCTGGGTATTGAACCCAGGGCCTTATGGCCCCCTTCATTTTACTTTGAGACAGAGTCTTATTTAGTTGCCCAAACTGGCCTCAAACACAAGTTCCTTCAAGCTAGTTAGATGGAAATTAATACGCAGGCAGAGAGGGACTGGGCTCTCAATGAAGTCAGTACAAAACAAAGATGACACAATTGTGGCAGGAGGTGTAGCTGAAGAAGGCCAGGCCTCAAAATCAGCTATATTGCTTGATCAATTTTTCATGCCTGTATCTTGTAATATGAGCTATTACTTTGTAGGTAACAGCACAGAATGCACTAACCAGTGTTACTCTCCTACAATCTTGTTTCGAAATTTTACACCATTGTTTTTATGTTTTTCCCCTTCTTTAAAAGAGAGAGAGAGAGAGAGAGAGAGAGAGAGAGAGAGAGAGAGAGAGAGAGAGAG